ATAGCTAGTAGGTAGGTAGATGGTGCGCCGCAACTGAGATGCAAGATGGCAGCGTGTGGCTGGTCGGGCATTTGGGTTTTTACTGTGTTAGGGTTTTAGGTAGGGCTGCAGCTCTATTAGAATGTTAGAATAATTATAACTAATTATAATATATAATTTCTAATTAGAATTTTAGAAGAGCAGGCCTAGAATGGGTTAGAACGTTCTGATGTTGTACTTTTTGAATGCCCCGAAACCAACACACATTTAAAGCGAAACGACAGCCTTGACTCGTTTAGTCCCCCAAAAATGACCGACTCCGGTGCCGGGCCGTCTAAACAAACAACAAAGAAGATACTTACACGTATGGCAAGAGCGAGCTGGATGCGGCGGCCTATTGTGAGGCACTGAAAAGCGCCAAAGCTAAGTGGAACGCGGTGTGCATGATGATGAGGTTATGATGAAGCTGATTGGAGGGCTAGAGGTGCAGGAGTGAGCGGGTGGTTTGGAGTTCTGGTGGTGTGGCTGTGTGTAACACAGCAAAGGCGTAACCCGGGATGCTCAGATTGGCATTTGCGTCGTTACATTGCCCCCCACTTAGCAATGGACGTCCTCGGCCATTATTTCGAGCACAGGAGCCATCCCACCTCGTGCCAGTGCGCTGGTTTATCCATTACACCATGAATTCGCCAATTTGCGACTTGCTGGTTGCCAGAATCGAACCGCCGACCCGAAGTTTATTTCGGAATTCGTGCGGTCCCGTCTCGATACCATTGTAACACAGCAAAGGCGTAACCCGGGATGCTCAGATTGGCATTTGCGTCGTTACACTGTGCGTTGGGCCCTGATCCTCTCTATTTCCCAGTGTCCAGGCGATGTACTCAAGGGTCCAGAAGTCAGTTTATTATTGCTGGCTTTGGTGGTATTTGCGTGCATGTTGTGTTCGTGACAAGCGTGCTGGAGCCCGATTCGGGTCGGGGCACCCCTGGGTTCGGCTGGCAGACCCCCAAGGAATCGCCCAACTGACAAGATAATCTGGAAACGTCTGCTAAAGGATGAGAGGTCATATAACCGAAGTTAAAGTACTTCTTTAAATCCGGGCTGAGCAGCTAGCCAGACCAAGACACCGGGACGAGAAACCCAAACGCGTTCGTTACAGTACGACTAACAAGAACAAGGAACCGGGGACGTGGACATATGGTTGGGGAGAAAAGACGCCCAGCCTGCCTGCCAGAGCGCGCATGCTACTTCGTGCGGCCCTTCCGGGCTACTGTGCTCTTCCGCATTGGTAACAAGTAGGCAGCCGACGGCCTCGCTTGGGTTACTTTGGCCCCACGCCTAACCCAGCGAAGCATTCCCCCACCCACCCAGTCGCGTCACATTCGCTCCACCACTGTCCGCCTCACAGCTACGGACCGGCGAATGTAGACCAGCACTGCATCGGACCTCCACCACCCGTGCGCCTTAATCTCCTCAAGACCCACCCCAGCATTGGCAGCCGCGGGGTCCCGTCCTTGCGCAAGCTGTGGGCCGATATCCTAGCGAGATCTAGCCTCAGCTCCGGCTCGTATCCCTGCAATTCTCCCAGCAATACATGCAGCCTGTCAGTGAAATCCCCGCGCCGCCAAGCCGAGCCCCGCTTGCCCGGCCAAGTGATTCCCCGTACGAAGAGTGGGGAGTGAACTCAGGCCGTTCTCACGCACTCCAGGTGCCGCTGCACTATGCGAGTGATGGGGATGCCGCTCTGGGTGAGCGCTGCAAGGCACACCAACGCCCCCGTGCCCTTCTGGTCTGTCTTGCTACGTACGATCTGCAGCCCCACACCCCGGCAACTCCTCAACGCAGCCCACCTTCAGGGCCGCCAACTCGCTCCTCCAGAGCATCTTGAAAAAACCCAAGACCAGCCAGCAGGCGTCCTGGGTGAACTCCATTGCCCTCCGCGGCTCCGCATTTGCCCTGCACCGTAGCTACGCCACGAGCAGCTTCAGCACCCCCAGGGGCAGGGGTGCCTTCGTCTTGGTCGATGCCGACTCCAGCCTCGCAGCAACGCTTGGCCCAGGGTTCGCTTGACCAGCGGGTCGCGGCTGATATATGCCTCTGGCGAGACTCCCATGAACCACTGCCAGTCCGCCAGGGTGCTCAGCGTGCTGATGACGGTGGAGGCCGTGTACCGGCCAACTGCATGCGCTATGAACAGACAGACCAGGTCCCGATTGAGGTCAGACCCACGCTGGCGGGGCAGGGCGCCCGCCTCCGGCACCCCTGCGACCTCCGTGCAGAAGTGTACAAAGTGTCGCCACCCCGACTCATAGGTGACGGATGAGCTGTCTGTAACCGCGCTGCCGTGTAATGCCACAGTCAGCTGTGCCAGTTCCTCCGAACACTCCCATGGGCCACTGATCCGATACCCGCCGCTGCAAGCAAGCAAGTGGTGCAGCGGTACCAACCGCCGGGGTAGGCTCCTGGGGTGATTCCGAGGCACCGATGATGCGCCGAGCAGGGGCAGGCCTCACAGCGCAGATCCCCAGCTCCGCAGCAACGCCCGCAGACGGAGCAGCTTCCCTCCTCCCGGTGACAGCCTGCCGGCACTGGCCAACGGGGTGCGGGGGGAATCTAGTTGAGCCTGAGCACAATCAAGTCGTACTCGCTGGGTGCGGCTTCGGCAACCCACGGGAAAAGGCAGTGCCGTCGGGAAGGGCGACCCAGCACTGCAGCGTGCCGGTGCAGGGGTGCCGAAAGGCCATGAATCGGCGCGCCTCTGGCGCCAGCTTGACGTGGTGGAAACCGCTCGCCAGGTCGCGCTTCCCCAGGAAGCCGTTGGCTGGCAGTTGTTCGAGAAGTGTGGCGAGATCACGGAGCGGGCAGGGGAGCTTGGTCATGCACTCGTTGACCCCAGACCGAGAGGGGTCGGTTATGGGACGGATGGAGCCATCAGGCTTGAGGACGACGTGCAGGGGGTTGACGACGGCAGCAACGTCGGTCTCGGAGCCATGCACGCTGGGGTCATATTGCTCGGTGACGCCGGAAGCCAGGAGGTCATCGAAGTGCTGGCTCATGTCGGCGAGGTGTGGGAGGATAGAGGGATAGTTGTGGAGGTGGTGGGACGGGTTAGGCTCCGCATGGAATGCCCAGACGGCCGTGTTGCGGGACGCTGGCGTATCCACTCCATACCGCAGCCATGCCTCGGTGATGAGCTTGCTGCCCGCGTGCCCGAACCAAGGGCGCCCCGGGGCTGGAGGGAGCGGTTCGGGGATTATGGCCGCCCCGCCCGTAAAGCTCAACCCCACTGCCGGCACCAGCACCACCACCGCCGCCGCCGGCGATCCGGCACCCCCCCTCCTGCCCGCCGCCTTGCCACCCGACGTCAGAGAGTAAGTGGCGGCGGCGGCGGCAGCAGCCAGTTGCTCGTCCAGCTCTACTCGTACAAAGCCATCCAGCAATGGCGACCTTGGTGCCGCCTCCGCCGCCGACAGTTTTACTTCCGGCTCTCCGGCGGCCGCCTTGCCCGTTGGCTGAGATGGTGGCGGTGGTGGCGGCGGCGGCGGTGAAGGGAACACCGGGTCCACCACCTTCTGTACGACCTCCTCTATCAGGCGAGGTAGCAGATCGCTCAGATAGGCACCCG